GTTCAAGACCAGCCTTGGTAACATAGTGGGATCCCGCTTCTACAAATTTTTTTTTTAAGTTAGCTGGGTATGGTAGTGCATGCCTGTCGTCCGAGTGGAAGCAGGAGGATTGCTTGAACCTGGAAGTTCGAGGCTGCAGTGAGCTATGATCACCACTGCACTCCAGCCTGGGTGACAGAGAGAGACTTCATCTCTTCACCATATATAAATGGTAAATATAGATATATCCTTTTCCCAGATTATATATATACAATATATATGTTATATATAATATATATATTATATATATATATAAAACCTGGGAGAGATATATATATATCTCACCTTTTCACATGTTTTTTATATATATTCTTTTATATATAATATATATATAAAATATATAAAAATATATAATATATTTTATATAAGTATATATTATATATTTATATATTACATATTACAAATAAAATACATATATAATATATATAACATACAATATATATGTAATATATATTTATATTATAATATATTATAAATATATATCTATATTATATTTTGACTACTAATTTTATATATATTTATATTGTATAAATATATATTGTATAAATATATTTATATTGTATAAATATATATTGTATATTTATATTATAAATATATATTGTATATTTATATTATATAAATATATATTGTATATTTATATTATATAAATATATATTGTATATTTATATTATATAAATATATATTGTATATTTATATTATATAAATATATATTGTATAAATATATATATAATTAGTAGTCAAAGAGAGGCTTTAGGCAGTCAAAGAGAGACATTGCCGTATCCCTTTACTATTTATATAAACATATATATCTCTCTATATATAATCTGGGAAAATGAGAAGGCTCATAACACTGACCCTTGTAAATGTCAAGGAAGAGTCCTTGGCGTTTGGGTTGTGATTGTTGATTGGATAGGAATGGGTTGGTGGGGGAAGTGGGTGAGGAGATGTTTTAACCAGGAAAAAACAAACAGACAAAAACTATGAATGTGTGAAAAGAGACTTCTCACAGAAAGAAAGGAAGAGAACAGTACTGGTCACTCCCCACGCAGATAGAATGCCATGGAGTTGCTGTTTCTTGCCCATGAGTTTCATGACAATCTTCCTTCCCCTTCACATGCCAACTAAGCAGCAGCCAGCAGGACATTCCCTGACCGTGCTGCCCAGCCAGGCCTGGAGTCTGCCCCAAACGCAATCACAGATATTCCCAGGCTTGAATGCCATCCAGAGACCAGTCATTTGATGTAATTGCATGTGGTCTGACAAACAAACTCCCACCCAAACACGTTGTACTTAGGGAGTCTGAAATCTATATGATCACATCTTCCAGAACTCAGGCCCACTCTGACCACAGGATTCTTCCAAAGACAACACCGACAGAAGTGTGTGCAATTCCACCATATAATTTTTGTCTGGGAAGTGAAATATCTCCATCATTACATCATCTTCCTTAGAGTAGTGATCCCTTAAATGAAAAAGCCTAAATAAGATCCCTTCTCAAAGCCAACTATTAAAACAATCACTTTTAAATATTCTCTCCTCTCTTCCATGCTGTACAAGTACAGTTTTCACACAATTTCTCTTCTGATCCTCAAACAATGCATGGAGGTGTGTATTATTCCTGTGTCTTGGTCCAGCCAGGACTTCCTGCTCCCTTTTCCCCCCATTTCTGCAAAGGTGACATGGCCAGTCCGGCCAATTCACGTCTGAGAGATTGGCTTCCTGTGACAACCTTCACCCCCCTCCCCTGACCCATAGGCCTGACACAAAAGAGACTGCCGGAAACTCCCAACAACAGCCAAGCGGGTAGCCACAGTGTCCTGGAAAGGAATTCTAAGCCCACAACAAAGCGTTTCTCATCTAGTTTTTCCTTTTTTTTTTTTAATGGGATTGGGGTTGGGGAGGGGTTGGCAGCCAGCCAAAGACGGGTGGCAGAATGATGAAATCATGCAAGCCCACAGCACCGAATGATGTTGTAGTGGAAATGGGGACAGGCTTTTGTGCTAACCAGAATGTTCCTGCATATAATCTCTGATTAATAACAGTGGTGGCCCAGGAACAGCCATGGTAGTCAAAGAGAGACATTGCTTTATCTGTAATATTCTATTTTTTAAAGCGTGTATATTCATTTATTAGTTATGTAATATAAGTTGTCTTGAAAAATGAAAAGAAAATGGCCATTGCTGCCACTTTGAGAGCCCTCAGATTCTGGGGTGTTGTGTGTGGGGGGCGGAGATTTCTAACTCCCTGCTTAATTATCTCAAAACACCCCATCCATTCAGGCCAGCCAGCCTTTGACTGCCTGCTACTTGCAAAGCCCAGTACTGCACTGCCTAACAAGCACAAAGCCCATGGGTCCCTCCAGGAAGGCAAGGGGTGTGGATCAGAAAGAGCTGGCTCTCAAATTGCCTGTGCCTGTGATTGGATGAGGAGGAGTTGAAGAAACAAACAGGCAATTCACCGTAACCAGAGACAAAGGAGGTAGGTTCTGTGTCAGTGATGGCATAGGAGTCGGTCCTGAAGAACCGCTGGGATTTTGATGAGGAAGGGAAGGGCTGGTGTGGGTGGGACAGTCTGCAGGAGGAAACATCTTGGAAGAAAATTAGGATGTAGATGAAAAGCAACCTATGGTCACTTCTGATTCCACCCTCACGCCCTGTCCACAGGTTCCAGTCCTCTTAGATGACCGATCTATACACCCATCTCCTGCCACCACCCCCATCCCATCTCAGCAGGAGACAATGCATGAAAAGAAAGCTCTTCGTTTTTCATTCTTGATATTCACAGACTGCCCAGATACAGACAGGAGTGGGCAGTGAAGGTCAGAAGGATGAAGGAGCTTGCCTAGCCGATGAGGAAGGGAACAAGATAAGATGCAAACCTCTGTCTCTGACTCTTGGTCAAGTGCTCCTCCGCCCAACTAGCTGTTAAATGAGGTGGATGGGGTCTTGGTTAGGTACAGAGACAACTGAGTCAGATCAACTTGGTATAAATCCTAGCTCTGATGTTGAGCTATTTACCTAGCCTGTCTCTACCTCCATTGTCTTTTCATTTTTCTTTTCTGAGGCAGAGTCTCACTCTGTCACTGCCTCTGTTTTCCATAGCAAAATAGAGTTAATAATCCTTACATGAGAGCTGTTGCACAGATGAAAACACAGACAACGCCTACATAATGCTTAGTATGTGCCTGGAACATAGAAATGCTGAAGCAGTCATTCCCTCTTCCCGCCTATCTCTGTGGTCATTAGTACCATCGCACACCGCCTCTCATTTAGTGCCCGAATCTTGGAGCCTGCCTGGAGGCTGGAGCCATGCCGGGACATTTCCCTTAATCTTGCTAACCTCCTCAGAGAGGCGGCACCCACCCCATCGGCAGACTCCACGCGCATTCTCTGGGTCTGCTTGTCATCCCTCCAGATGTTGTTTGGAGTCTTTCTATTAGCACAGCTGTTTCTGGGATCTGGAAGAACTCTAAGGGCCCTGGGGAGGATACACACCGGAGTGGGTCTCTCGAGGCGGTGGCAGGGGACTGGGGAAGAACGTAAGCCCCTTCTATGTGCTGTTCTCAAATGACTCCAGCATGCAGACAGGCTTGGAAGCTCCGGTCCTCTCACTGTAGCACCAAGAGCCTCATAAATGGCCTAGCTCCGTGCTAAATGCTTCAAGCAATTATTACACTTTCCCCCTCGCCCCCCCTCCCACAGTGATCCCTTTGGGATTTCTGACATTCTGAGCATCTGTTTGAAGTTCTTCATGCACGAGTGACAAGCTGCCATGTATTTAGCAGCTCCTGTAAAGCTGTAGACAGTGGGCTTGCTGAAGCTGAAGTACAGATGCGTAAAATCACAATCAAAATTCTCCAAATGCATCCTGATATTAGTCTTCATTGTGTTTACAAACAATATTGGTGAACACTGAAGTGAACTAAAAACTGGCTGGATTTTTTTATAAATAACATTTTGGGAAACAAATGTAAATTAAACCCCCTTTTAAAAAAGTCAGCATGAAGCGTGTACTATCCACGTGTTTCTAATGAGGTTATAATTATTCTCAAATGTTTTCAATTCTCACTGAGCTGTTAGATACACTGTTTTATTACTTTTATGTGTCTAACTAATCATACCCTGCTTCTTCCTGTGAAAAAACCATACACAGGAGGACAAACTGGCAAATGCTCTAGATTCACTTGAACATAGAAATGCTGAAGCAGTCATTCCCTCTTCCCGCCTATCACTGTGGTCATTAGTAACACCACACACCGCCTCTCATTTAGTGCCCGAATCTTAGAGCCTGCCTGGAGGCTGGAGCCATGCCGGGACATTTCCCTTAATCTTGCTAACCTCCTCAGAGAGGCGGCACCCATCCCATCGGCAGACTCCACGGGCATTCTCTGGGTCTGCTTGTCATCCCTCCAGATGTTGTTTGGAATCTTTCTATTAGCACAGCTGTTTCTGGGATCTGGAAAAACTCTAAGGGCCCTGGGGAGGATACACACCGAAGTGGGTCTGAGCTAACACCACCCTGCATCCCCACAGCCTCCCTGGACACTGCAAAGTCCTCCTCACTGTCTGGAGGTCCAGGAGCACTTTTTAGCCCTTTTTTGCTTTTAGCAGAAGCAAAGAGCTTGTTCAGATCAAGAAGAGTGAGGCTTTGAGTCCCTCTATGTGCCATCCTATGTGCCAGCGACATGGACATGCGACTCTTCTCGTCCTCTGGCCTTTAGGGCTGTGGCCACCACCTTTCCATTCTCCCGAGCTGCCACAAGCAAGAGCTGGTGGGAATGAAAGGGGTTATTTTTTTCTTTTTCTTTTTTTTTTCTTAAGATGGAGTTTTACTTCTTTTTGCCCAGGCTGAAGTAAAATGATGCAATCTCAGCAGCATTCAAGCTCAACACGGCAAGATCCCTCTTTCCTGCAGAGGGAGGACCAGAAGGGAGCAGAGATGGGGGACAAGGGTGGGAGGTTGATGGTTTGAAAAAGCGATGGAGGCCCAGACAGAGCAAAGCCAGCCAGCTGCGGTAAGGGAGCCAGCTTCTGCCCGGGAGAGGCCTGGCCTCAGGCTCGCACCCTCAGGGGGGTAGACAGCCTGTGACGGCAGCACAGCATGGCCGAGGGAGACAACAGGGGCTGGCCAGGCTGCAGAGGGACTTCCTGGGAGGCTCCAGCCACAGGAATCCTAAGCTGAGATTCTGGAGATCTTCTCCCTTCCTGCAGCTGTGGGCTGGGCCACGGAAACACTTTCAGTTTTGTTTCCTTGTCTGCAAGAAACGAAACTCAGCAGAAAGACTGAGCAGAGAGCAGAACATGGAAGAAGGCTTCTTGGTGTGCAGGAACTGGTAAGAAACACCTTCTCCAGCGGCAGACCCGGGCTGGATAGTGAGAGACGTGGATGAGATAGGGCTGTTGCCAAAGGGAGGAGAAAAATGGTTCCTGCGCTTAGGAGAACAAGCAGCTGGAGACTGTGGGCCCCAAGTGTAGGAGGGTTTAAACTTAGTCATCTCTGGGTGAGGGTGAGCAGCATCACCTCCACTTCACTGCATCTGCTTTCCCCAAATTTTAGGCTTTCGGGGACAATTCTGAAGCCAAATAGCCAGGACAGTTGGTTCCAACTGGGCTACTCTTACTTGTGAGATCTTGGGTTCTAATTTGGGGTTCTGATACTATGACCTTCACACCAATCTGTGACAGAAAGGGCCCCACAGGCCAGGTGCGGTGGCTTACGCCTGCAATCCCAGCACTTTGGGAGGCTGAGACAGTCAGATCATGAGGTCAGGAGTTTGAGACCAGCCTGACCAACACGGTGAAACCTTGTCTCTACTAAAAATACAAAAATTAGCCAGGCATGGTAGAACGTGCCTGTAATCCCAGCTACTCAGGAGGCTGAGGCAGATGAACTGCTTGAACCTGGGAGGCAGAGGTTACAGTGAGCAGAGATCGCCTGGCAACAAAGTCAGACTCTGTCTCAAAAAAAAGAAAGAAAGAAAGGGCCCCACAGAGATTCCCCAAGACTATTCTCACCCTCCTTGGAAAGGGAGCTGTGGGGCAGGGCAGGGAGGACAGAGCAGGGGGCTGGGACCACACCTCTAAGGGCGGGCGGAATCTGTCCCATCAAAAATCCCCATTCTTAAAGTTCCCTACCTGTGACAGGGACCTGAGTGGACCCTCCCCAGAGAGCTTTGCTCCAACCAGACCCTTCAAGTTCTCTGGTTTCTCAGCCAGCCCAGGAGGAGCAGGGGGGCAAGGGACCAGGCTGGGAAGACGAGAACAGAGGAAGGGAAGATGGCACTGCCTGTGTGCCCACTGCCTGGGCAAAGCGGAAGCAAAGAGCTTGTTTGGATCAAGAAGAATGAGGCTTTGACAGTCCCTCTCTGGGCACGTCCCATGTGCCAGGGACATAGACATGCGACTGTTTTCGTCCTCTGGCCTTTAGGGCTGTGGCCACCACCTTTCCATTCTCCCGAGCTGCCACAAGCAAGAGTTGAGGGAAATGAAAGGTGTATTTTTTCTTTCTTTTTCTTTCTTTCTTTCATTCTTTCTTTCTTTCCTTCATTCCCTCCCTCCCTCCCTCCTTCCTTCTTTCCTTCTTTCCTTCCTTCCTTCCTTCCTTCCTTTTTTTTTTACTTGAGATGGAGTTTCACTTCTTTTTGCCCAGGCTGTAGTTCAATGACACAATCTCAGCTCACTGCAACCTCCGCCTCCTGGGTTCAAGTGATTCTCCTGCCTCAGCCTTCCTAGTAGCTGAGATTACAGGTGTGTGCCACTATGCCCGGCTAATTTTGTATTTTTTTTAGTAGAGGTGAGGTTTCATCATGTTGGCTAGGCTGGTCTCGAACTCCTGACCTCAGGTGATCCACCTGCCTCAGCCTCCCAAAGTGCTGGGATCACAAGTGTGAGCCACTGCGCCTGGCCAAAAGGGGGCCTTTCTCAGTGAAGAGGACGGTTAGAGAAAAATGCCCTGCCCAGGAAGTGGGAGGCTCAGAACGCTTCCTTCACTGTGGACTCCAGGAAGAAGCTCAGAGCCTCTGTGGGTTAGCGCAGGTGAACCTGGCGGCAGGAGAGACTTGGGAAGCTCTCGCTTTGGAGATTCTAGCAGTTGGCATGGTCCGGGCAGGAAGCGTGAGCCTTGCAGGGCTGCATTCCTAACACTGTGGACCAAACAGGGGCAGCAATAAACAAGAAAAAACCTTCAAGAGAATTTGGCACTTCTCTCAAATTATTTAAATTGAAAGAATTATTTAAATTATTTACAATGAAATGTTATTTTAAAAACAGCCTTATAGAGGTATAATTGACCTACAATAAACCGCACATTCTATAACAATTGATAAGTTTGGGCCTATGTTATATACATCTGTGAAACACCATCCCCGTAATTGAGATAATGAAGCTCCCCATCACCCCCAAATCTCCCCTGTGCCCCTTTTGTAATTCCTCCCTCCTGCTCCTCCCCAGGCCCCGCCCCAGCAATGTAAGAGCTCTGTGGAACGTCCTTACACTTATTCAATGATGATGTTCTGTTCTAATTTTGACCCAACACAGGGAGTGGGGGCAGGTGGTGTCATCATCATCACATGTTCAGTGCTTAAGGCCTCTGGAGATCTAGTCCCGGGTGGGAAATACAGCTCCATGTTTCATAATAGGAAAATAAGTCTATTTTCCTATCTCGCCTCCTTGACCCTGTAGCAAAAGAAATGTAGCCTCTGCCCACTTTGCCCTCCACGAGGTGCACTGCTTGCGGTTCCTGGTCCTGTGCCCGGAGTGTGAGGAGCCTGTCCCCAGGGAAAAGATGGAGGAACACTGCAAGGATGAGCACCAGCAGGTGAGCAGGTGGCAGGGAGGATGGAGTCCGGGAGTCCGAGGCAAAGATGCCTGCAGGAGAGATGGGGTCGGGAGTTGGGGCAAGGGTCCAGTCCTCCCTGCGGGAGAGATGGGGTCTGGGAGTCAGGGAGTGGGGCCAGCCTTGCCTACAGGAGAGATGGGGTCTGGGAGTCGGGGTGAGGGTCCAGTCCTCCCTGCAGAAGAGATGGGGTCCTGGAGTTGGGGTGAGGGTCCAGTCCTCCCTGCAGAAGAGATGGGGTCCTGGAGTTGGGGCAAGGACTGGGGACTTAAGGCAGGAGTCCAGTCCCCCAGGCAGAGACTCACTTGAGGGCCATGGGAAATCATTTAGCTCCTTCACAGGAAGGCCCATGGGCAGGAAATGTTAATCCTGCCTTTTTCATGCTAATCTGAACCTACCTCCAATTTTCCCATCTCCAGTCCTTTCCCTACAGGCTTATGGGTCTAGCATAGGCAAGAGGATCTGGTTTCAGGAAAGATTGGCTCTTCTCTTGAGACCAGTAAAGAGGGGACGTGAAAAAGAAGGCCCCTGAAGGCAGTCAGGTCGAGCTTTGTTTCCTGCCTTTTCATGTCCCTTCCTCCTGGGCCCCTGATCTGTCTCTCTGGAGATACTCAAGCTCAGGCATCCATTTCAACTCAGACTGGTCTGACAAACACTTCTTGAACGCTGGGCTGGGCGCTAGAGAGAGACTGAGGTAGCCACACTGGATCCCTGCCCTCTAGGAGTTCACAGACTCCAACCTGGAACATTGTAAGCCAAAGTGAATGTGGGACAGGCCCAGGGTGCTGGGTGGAACCCACATCTGGGGTGTGTGTGTGTGTGTGTGTCTAGGTTGGGTGTACGATGTGTCTGAAGAGCATACAGAAGTCCTCACTGGCGTTTCATGAGGTAAGAGCTCCATGTGATTTCTCCTTTACAGCCAAATAGGCCAACCTGAGAAAAGGAGAGGAAGGGGAAAGGGGAGGCCGATAGTAGAGAATTCCACCTGACCACTCTTTACACCCCATCGGGCTTGGAGAGCATGACACACATGAGCCCACTGCATGACACATGACCTCCTGTCCCCCAGATACTGGCCAGAAGGGCTTTCCATGGTCCATGAGTCCAAGAGAGCTCAGATCGCCCTAGGGCAGTCCCTCACTCTGGCCCTTCTCATCTGCTATCTCTTATTGGCTGCAATTCCATAGGGAATTGGGCACACATCCTTGATCTGTCTGCAGTCAAAGAGGCCAGTGATCATGCCCTTCCTGCTGCTTCCCACAGGCCAATGATTGCCAGGAACACACTGCTGAGTGTAAGTTCTGCGAGCTGGACGTGCAGCTCAGCAGGCTGGAGCTCCACAAGTCCCGCTGTGGCAGGCAGACGGAGCTCTGCCGGGGCTGTGGCCAGTTCATCACGCGCCGGGTACTCGCCGAGCACACACGTTTCTGTTGGAGTGAACAGGCCCAGCTCAGGAAAGGTGAGCACACAAACTGGGGTAGAAGAGAGACGTTCTGAGGGCCAGAGCATTTCCTGGATGGGATGTGAGGATTGGAAGCTCTCAGCAGCATGGATAACAAGTGTATTTGCTATGTAGGTCTCAATTCATCCAGCTATTCTCATTCTAAACCATGCATTAGTGTGGCCTTCCTGTGTGTCTGCCATGGTCTTCAAATGACTGGTCCAGGGAGACCAGGGGGCTGAGGCTAGAGCCTGCCAGCCACAAAGTTGAGTAAGGAGGCCACGGGGTGTCCTAGGAAACAGGAGGCTTTCTTTGAATGCCTCCGGCACAGTCCTAGCCTGGCAGAGATCCATTGATTTCTCATCCTTTTACAGATGAGAAATCTACACACAGAATAAAGCAGAGGCTTCCTAGAGGCAGAAATAAGACTAGACTTTCACATTTTCCACCAAATCTAGGGCTTTTTCCATTATCAGCAATGGCCAGAAGGGACCTAGCTATAACTCCTGGCCTTGGAGCCTATGTATTGGCTCTCTGGTACCATTTTATGTTCACTTGACTCACATGCCTCTTTACAAGGGTATATTTAGTGTCACTGTCACATAGTCATCAATGTGACAGATCCTTTGCTGTCTTTGCTGGTTGTTTTGGTAACATGGTAACATAAGAGACAGCCTAAAACTCCCCACACAGTAACTCTCTCCTGATGAACAGTCTACCCAAGGTCAAAATTGGCCAATGAAAAACTGAAAAGTGTGAGATTCATGTACATTTCCTTCATCCAGCATGGCTGGACTTCAACAGAACAAAACACAATCTTCCACACAACTTCAACACAACACAACCCAACACAGCTTCAACACCATCAACAAAGATGTGTTCAACCAACACCTGGTCCGATCACAGAGCCTGGAAACTGGTGATGAAGAGCAGTTAGATTGGAGAGGATTGGCATCAGTGGCTACAGTTCCAGTCATCTCCTTAGAAAGCAGTCCCGCTCCGGGAAGCTGTCTCTCTATCAGGGTTGCTGCTGCCCTAACTGCACATCTGTAGCCATAAAGGAAATGATGTGGGTGACTCTGCCAAGAGCTGCCTGCGTAGTCAAGGATGCCGGCAGTGCAGGAAAGTCAAAGCCAGACAGGCCCGGGGGCAGTTCATGCTCATGAGTACAGGCCATATAGACAGCTGTGGGTGAGCTGGGCTAGCCATTGTCAAGGGCAATCATTTGTGGTGTTGTTTCTGTGTTTATTCAGGGGAAAGAATATCAGCACCTGAAAGGGAAATCCACTGTTATCATTGCAACCAAATGATTCCAGAAAATAAGTATTTCCACCATATGGTGAGTAGCAGTTAGTAATTTTCTAATGCTGCCAGTAATTAGTCCACATTCTGAAAAGTAGGATAGGAAAGGCAGATTCTGGGCCCAATTTTGCGTAGCATGAATATTAAAGGATCCCATATATATATATATATATATATATATATATATTTTTTTTTTTTTGCTTTGTTCGAAAAGATATTTTAGTGACTAGCTTAGGCTAATCGAGCACACACAATTGGTCTTCCTTTGTGCCCAGCCCTTGAGGGGGCCTCTCTTACCACTCCCAATAGCCGCAATCACCTCTGACCATCTCCAACCTTCATGGCCTGGACATTGCAAATTTGGTCCTCAGTAGGGCCTGTCTTACTGCTTTCTGTCCCATGTGGGAGTCTTCTCTATTAGACTGTGAGCTTCCTGAAAAACTGAATGACTTTTTCCATTTTCCTGATATCAGGGGTTGGTGCAAAAAGAGGACTCTATAGAGATGCAGTCATGTGATTGACCGACAGACTGATTTTGTCTGGGAACACTCAGACTCTTCCCTCCATAGCCCTAAGCGCCTTTTAGTGCACTGCTGTGCCGAGTCGCTCCCTTCTTTTGGACAGAATGGAGCGTTTCTCCTTTGGGAGACTTACCAAGGCTTCTCTCCAAGGAACTCATCTCCTTCTCCTTGGACAGAAAGTTGTTTACTTTCTTAATACTTCCGTTCCTAGAACTACAGAATATCAAAACTAAAGCACCCATAGAGATGATCCAGCTCTTTGCTTTTTTGTTTTGTTTTTACTAGTGTGGGAAACCACATATAATGTAAAACTTGCCACTACTGTAGAGACAGTTGTTACATTCACAATGTTGTGCAATCTAGTTCTAGAATATTTTCATCCTCCCAAAAAGAAATCCTGTACCCATTTGCAGATACTATCCATTCCCCCATCTTCCCAGTTCCTGGCAACCACTAATCTACTTTCTATCTCTATGGATTTGTCTGTTCTGGACATTTCACGCCAATGGAGTCATGTAACATGTGGTCTTATGTAACCATCTTCTTTCACTTAGCATAACATTTTCAAGGTTCACCCGTGTTGTAGTTGTGACAAATATCATATCAGCACTTTATTCCTTTTAATGGACTTTTTTTTTTTTTGAGACAGGGTCTCATTCTGTCGCCCAGGCTGGAGTGTAGTGGCACAATCTTGGCTCACTGCGTTCAAGCTGTTCTCCTGCCTCAGCCTCCTGAGTAGCTGGGACTACAGGTGCCTGACACTGTGCCTGTGTAAATTTTGTATTTTTTTTTAAGTAGAGATGGGGTTTTACTACATTGGCCAGGCAGGTCTCAAACTCCTGACCTCAGGTGATCCGCCCATGTTGGCCTCCCAGAGTTAGTGGCCTTTTTATGGTCATCCTACATTTTGTTTCTCTACTTGTTGATAAACATTTGAATTGTTTCCACCTTTCAGTGTGCTTTTTGAAGTGGAGTCTGTGGACCAGCAGCATCGGCATCACCTGGAATCCTGTTAGAAATGCAGAATCTCAGGCCCTCCCCTTAGAAATGCTAAATCAGAATATGCAGAGTCACATGATTTCACAGGCATTTCAAGTCTGAGAAGCGCTGCCCCAGCCACGTGATTCTCAGCCTCAGATGTACATGGAAATCAACTACTGATTTGTTTTCCTCAGTACTGATATCTGTTAGATTCTATAAGTGGTCCGTGTCTTCTATTTGAATGAGAAGATACTTGGTGAGCACCAAAACAAGAGTGAAGCTGACTACTTCCCTTCAAATGTTCAGCCTGGCAACCAAGGCACCTACACACTTATTGAAAGGCTTCAGGGAGCTGGGGAGCTCTAATACACATGGAAGTGGATTTGTGCTTAGCAACTCTGAATTTTAGTTCTGCCCTGCCCGTTACTGGCTGTGTAACCTCTCTGAGCTTCTTTCTTCTTTTAGGGAAAATGGGGATAATGGTTTATCTCCTTGTTCAGGAAAGAAGACATCCATGACCAGCCAGCACCAGAGCTCTCTCCTTGGCAGCATCCACACTCACTCACTTTGCCTTCCCACCTCTTAACCACAGAGGAGCTTTCTATGCTCCTATCTAAAGCCTATCCCCTCCTACTGGTTGGTGTACTATATCCTTTCTTTTTGCCTACACAAGGTCACACAAGGTTGTTCCTACACTGCTCCAGCAATTCTCCCCTCTCTGTCCGGCAACAGGGAGAGGTTAAAGGAGCTGTACACATAGGCAACAACAAAGTCTCAAAACTCTAGGATGTCCTAACATTTGTGTTATGATAAGTTTTTAAAGGGCTGCTACTATTGAATATTTAGATATCAATGGTGAATCTTTGGCCTTGCACAAAAAGAATCTTTTTGAATTTGAGAATTAAGGATTGAAATCATGTATACTAGGTGGTTTTGTGGTTTTCAGTCTTTAACTTTTTATTAACATGACCCCAAACCAGAAAAACATAAAGTACTTCTGACCCCATTTCCTACAAGCTACCATCTTGTTTCTTTGTAGAAAAACATTTGAACCAGTTGACTCTAGTCATGGCCTCCATCTTTTCTTCTCCCATTCTTATTCCCACTCCAATCTGACTCTTATGCCCACCCCGTCCAATGTTACCAAATCTGCTCTTGTCAAAATCAATTACATCTGCATTCCTAAATCCAGTGCTTAGTTCTCAGTCCTCAGTTTATGGGGAGCATTTACTGCTCATCACTCCCTCTTCCTCAGTGCACTTTCTTAGCCTCCAGGGTACCACACTCTTGTGGTTTTCAATAACCTTGGTGGTCTCTCATTCTCTATCTCTCCAACCTCTTAATTTTGGGGGGAAGCAGGGCTCAGTCTCTGGTCTCTTCTCTACCTATATTCACTGTCTTTATATTTCATCCAACTTCCTGATTTTTATTTTTTTTAATTTTTATTTATTTTTTTTCTTCCTGATTTTTATAAATGCCATATGTAGTCAGACACTTCCAAATTTATATCATAGTCTGAGCTTTTCTCCCCAAACTCTAGATTTGTATGTTACTATTTACTGCATCTTCACTTGAATGCTTGATAGACATCTTAAATGTAATACATCTGAAATGGAATCCTCTGTCCCACAGCTTGGCCCATCTCAGCTGATGGCAACTCTATCCTTCCAGTCGTTTAGGCCAAAATCTCAGGTTCACTCTCAACTTCTCTAGCCCTCCGTGTTGCTACCCTGGTGTGAACCATCATCTTCTCAAGCCCAGATGCTGCAGGAGTCTCCTAAGTGGTCTCCCTACTTGTCACTTTCCCCCTACAGTCTATTCTCATCACAGTGGTCAACGTGATCCCTTAAAAATACAAGTCTTGTGTGGCTCCTCTGTTCAGATCTCTGTACTCACTCTTGCCCCATTTTATGCAAACTCAACACTACAATAGCCTTAGAGATCTATGTCATCTTTGCCTCCCTTCCTACCTCATCACGTCTTTGATCTCATGTACTACTCCTGTTCAGCTCACTGGCCTCCTGGTTTTCTTGAGCATACTCTGCCCTAGGGCCTTTTCTCTGGCTACTGCCTCTGCCTGGGAGCCACCTCCTTACCTTCCCCACCTTATTCCCAGAGCTAACTCTCTCATTTCTCTCAAGTCTTTGCCCGGATGGCACCTTCTTAAGGTGATATACCACAACAATCTGGTTAAAATTGCAACGCCCTCTCCATCACATATTCACCACCCCCTGACCTTCTTCTATTTTTTTTTATAGCCTTTATAAACTTCTAACATATTATCTAATTTACTTACTTATTATGGCCCTTGTGGTTTCCCACCACCCCAGTAAAATTATAAGCCCCACTGCTCCCCTTTATGCTAACTACTCCCTAGACACAAATACTCTACTTTCACTTTTAGCTGTTTCTTCTGGTAATCACCTTCATATGTCTAAAGCACCTGCTTATATATTTTTTCAATTTAGATATTACCTGTTGACTCAAAAGGATTTAGGAATATGGATTTCACTTTTTTTATACCACCCATCCCACACACATACCTCCAAAGTTCTTCATTTCATCCTTCCAATTTATTAATTTCACTCATTCTGGTTAAATATTCAATATTACATTGATCTAACCATGTAAACATTATACATGGTTTTCCACACGAACTGTGATTATGCGTGCTTTCTCCTACAACTTGTTTTCCCTGGACTTAATAATTGTTTTGGCTTTTCATTTGTTCACTAAAAATTAAATTGATTATAAAAAATTTCAAACAAATATGAAACCCTCATGTTAATAAACCCTCATGTATTCACTCCTCAGATACAAGAGTTGTTGTTCTGAGCAGGGTGAATAAAAATAAATCTACCCTTAGATACATTACTGGTAAAAGGCAAAGCTTGATTTCTTTGAACTCAACCAAAGAAGGAGATTACAAGCAAAGGAATGGCAATTTGGCTGAAGCAAATATATCAACAACAATAATAGAAGTGGGTATGCAGTGGAATAATCTTCAAAGTGCTAAGAGAAAATAGCTGCTAATATGTAGAAATCAAAAGTTTTCCATACCTGAACTATTCTTTTCGTTTGTTTTTTTTTAAAGTATGATAAAGCAAATCCATGATATCCTGTTATTTCACCATCATTCTTAAATAGCACAAAAATACAGTCATTTACTTAATCGCAATGCCTTTACCACTCCAATGATATTAACAATAATCTTTCCCCCATTGTTTTGGGGCCCTGCATTTATCATTCTTGTTCATTACTACCGCTGGGGCTGCTGCTGCTTTCTCCTCCCTTGTCTTCTATTGGATTGAGAAAAATGTCTTTATTCTCTTTCTTCTTTTCTACTGATTCAGCAATTTTACTCTCTATTTCTATCATTTCAGTAGCTACCCTTAAGATTTTAATATGAATACTTGACTTAATAAAGTCTAAAGTTAATAATTAGCTCTACTCTTCTTACAAATAGTATTCCGATTTGAGAACACAGTAACGCAGATCCTCTACTCCTATCTTACATGAAAATGCTGCCAGAATT